ATTCTGTTCGTTGATCTATATGTGTGTGTGTTTTTTTTTTAATGCCAGTATCATCAGATACAGAAGAAGCAATTTGACAGAGCTCAACATCTTTTTATAATAAATCTCTCTCAACAAAAATGGGTATAGAAGGAACTTTCTTTCAACATAATAAAGACTGTATCTGAAAAGCGTGCCTCTAATACCATAATCAGCAAAAACAAACTCAGAGATTTTCTCTAACATCTGGTACAAGGCAGGGGTGCCATTCTTGCTACTTTTATGGTCCTGGAAATACCAGCAATAAAGCAGACCAAGAAAAATAAAGAAAGGCATCCATATCAGAAAGAGAAGAAGCAGTATAATTATTCCTATTTCTGGATGACATGATCTTTTATGTATAAAGCCCAAAAAACTCCACAAAGAAACCTGTTAGAACTAATAAATGACTAAAGTAGCAGGATACAAAATCAATATACAAAAATCAGTTGCATTCTTTACAGTAATTATCTGAGAAAGAAATCAAGAAAGTGATCCTGTTTATGATAGCATCAAAATAATAAAATATGGGATCAATTTAACCAAAGAAGTGAAAGATCTGTATGCTGAAAACTTTAAAATATTGATGAAAGAAGTTGAAGAAGACCTAAATAAATGGACAAATATCCTTTGTTCATAGATTAGAAGAATTATTGTGACTAAAATGTTCCTAGTACTGAAAACAATCTACAGATTCTTTGAAATCCCTATCAGAATTCTTACGGCATTTTCACAGAAATAAAAAGGCAATTCTTAAATTTCTATGGAACCACAAAAGGCCCTGAATAGGCTAAACAATCTTTAGAAAGAAAAAAGTTGGAGGCATCACAGTTTATGATTTCAAGTTAAATTACAAAGCTACAGTAATCAAAACAATATGGTGTTGGCATAAAAACAAACACATAGACTTAGCATTTTTAAAACATCTATTAGATTCCAAATTATATTTCATCCTATGCCAAATTTATCAGTCATCTGGCTACGTAGAAGTTTTCTTAGAAAATATTGGTAATTTGTTGGTTGCTTCTGATCAAGATACTTGAGTTTCAAAAGTGTGAGTTTTGTATACAATTTTTTGGAGGCTTCTCAGATTCAATACCATCTCTTTCTTTCCAAGACTATATCATAGAACCCCTGTTTGAGTTCTACTGTAGTTCTCCAAGATTTAACAGTAACCAAACTGCAGTTATAAATTCTGAATTATGTGTTTTGCTCTTAACTCTTAACAGAACCATCTGCTATCACTATAGTGTTGTTGGTTTCTGTTTTTGGGGCGGATACATAAGAAAGGGTTTGCTTTTACCTCTTGTGAATTGTGATATTTGGAGCTTGCATTGCCATCGCTGTAGTGCTGAAATTTGATTTGCTTATGCTCTACCACTTTTATAGTTCTCGTGCTATGCTTTCTTTACTTAAAAAAGCTTTCTTATAAAATGTTGGTAATTAAACACACGCATAAATGTTTATTTCTTTTTGGAGTTAAGACCCTTGAAACTTGTAACTTTTGCCATTGGTACAGCCTGATAAGCAGAAAGAAAAGTAGAGGAGTAGCTCCAACATCTCAGTGAAAGAGATGTTCTGTTGTACCATGCAGGTATAGAGTGGTGCTAGGTGTGATTAGGCAGTGGTCTCTCTAGGTTCATTTTTAACAGAACACCTGAATACCTGAGACTGGGTAATTTCTAAAGAACAGACACTTTAAGTAGTTACGGAGGCTGAGAGACCAAATCAAGGTATCAGCATTTGTTGGCTCATGAGAACCTGCTTACTGCATTCTCATGTGGCAGAAGGTAGAAAGGAAGGCTAACCAAATGGCTGTGTGAAGCCTCCTTTATAATGACCTTCATCCCATCAAGAGGGAGAAACCCTCATGGCCTAATCGTCTCTTAGAGGTCTTACCTCTTAAAGTATTAAGAGTTTTGGTGGGGAGGCTGGCAAAGTGGCTCAAGTGGTAAAAGCATCATCCTAGTAAGGATGAGGTCCTGAGTTGAAATCCCAGGGCCACCAAAGAAAAAAGGTCTTTAGTCAATATGTCATGTAGTGCTGTATTCTAGCCTAAATGAAAATCATCATCCAAGGAATAGTATTCAATGTTGAAATACTGAAATATATATGTAATTGTCATGTTTTATTCAAACTAACAAATAGGCAATTCTTGGTAATTTGAACCTCTTTTCTGGACTGGGGATAAAGCTTAGTGGTAGAGCACTTGCCTGGCCTTCCCAAGGCCCTGAGTTCAACCTCAAGAACTGCCAAAAAAAAAAAAAGAAAGAAAAGAGAAAATAACCTTGTCTGAACCTCTTTGCTGTATATCCAGAAGCTATGTGAAGAGTATATATTTTAAAAACTGATGTAAGTTTTAAAATACATTTCTTTTAAATTATAGTTTGCTTTAAAAGTATATAATCTACAACTAAATCTAATTCAAGATATAAACCATAAACTATATTTATTTTGCTTTTATTTACATACAATAATTGTACAGGATGATATTGTGATATTTATTTTTGTGCTTACAGTATATCTTAATTAGATTCACCCCTCCATCATTCTCCTTCTTTCCTCCCCACCCTTCTTAGAACTATTTTAACAGGTTTCATTTTTCTGTTTTCATACATGAATATAAAATACACCCACCATACTCACCTTCCTTCACCCTTTCCTTATGAACACTCCCACCCCCCAGAAAAGACCTATCTTACCCTCCTGTCCTTCATTTTTTAAAGTGTATATTGATAGTTCAAGGGTGTTTTACCTGTATATATCATGCTTTAATCAAATTAACCCCTCCATTGGTTACTCTTTCTCTGTCACCATGCTCCCCTAATATTCAACAGTTTATGGTGCAGTATATTATATTTATATGTAAAGATGGGTAGTTCCAGTATTTTTCATTCTCTAACATTTTCTTTCCCTGTCCTACCTCTTGTAGTCCTCTCAGACAGATCCACTAATACAATCTTGTTTTCTGTCACTACATTTAGGGATGTGTGTGTGTGTGTGTGTATGTTTGTGTGGGTGTATGATCACATATATATTTATATATGCATTTAACTTATAGGTCTAGCTTACACATACGAGGGAAAACATATGACCTTTGATTTTTTGAGCCTGGCTCACTTTTTCACTTAACATGATGTTCTCCAGTTCCATATTTATCTGCAAACAACATAATTTCATTCTTCTTTATGGCTGGATAAAACTCCATTGTGTATATATACTACTCTTTCTTAATCCATTCATTAGTTGGGCATTCATTTGGACTGTTTCCAAAACTTGGCTATTATGAAAAGTGCTGCAATTAGCATGGGTATGCAGGTGGCTCTGTTGTATCTTGAAGCATATTTCTTTGATATATGCCCAGGAGTGGTATTGTTAAATCAGTTGCTTCAAAAAATTAAAATAGTAATTAATTTAACAAAGGAGGTTAAATTGACCTACACAATAAAAATTACAAGCTACTAAAGAAAGGAATCAATGAAGACATCAGAAGGTGGAAGGACATCCCATGCTTGTGGCTCAGCAGAATCAATACTGTGAAAATGGCTATACTACCAAAAGTAATCTACATGTTCAGTGTAATCCCTATCAAAATTCCAATAACATTCTTCACTGAGATAGAAAAGTCAGTCTTAAAGTTCATATGGAAGCACAAAAGACCTCAAATATCCAAAGCAATCCTGAGCCAAAAGAGCAAAACTGGAGGTATCACAATACCTGTCTCCAAACTATACTACAGAGCCATAGCAATAAAAAAAACACATGGTACTGGCACAAAAACAGACATGAAGACCAGTGGAGTAGAATAGGAGACACTGACACAAACCCACACAACTACAGCCACACAAACTATAGCTTTGACTTTCAACAAAGGTGCCCAAAATATGCTTGGAAAAAGATAGCCTCTTCAACAAATGGTGCTGAGAAAACTCGATTCCCATCTGCAGAAGACTGAAACTAGATCCTAGTTTCTCACCTTGTTTAAGTATCACTTTAAAGTGGGTTAAAGATCTCAATGTAAGCTCTGAAATGGTGAAATTAATCCAGGAAAAAGTAGGGAACGCACTGAACTACAGAGGCACAGATAATAACTTTATGAATAGAATTCTAATAGCTCAACAACTAAGAGAAAGAGTTGGCAGATGGGACTGCATGAAACTTAAAAGCTTCTGTCCAGTAAAAAGGAAATGGTCGCCAGACTGAAGAGACAGCCTACATATATGACAAGAGATTATTAACCAAAATATACGGGGAGTTCAGAAAATTAATCTCTCAAAGAATCAACAATCCACAGAATAAATGGGCAAATAAACTGAACAGACAGTTCTCTAAAGAAGTACAAATGACCAATGAATACATGAAGAAATGCTCAACATTCTTGGCAGTAAAGGAAATGCAAATCAAAACCACATTGAGATTCCCCCTCATCCCAGTCAAAATGGGTATTGTCAGTAGCATAAACAACAAGTGCTGATGAGGATGTGGGGAAAAAGGAATACTTTTACACTGTTGATGGGAATGTAAATTAGTGCAACTACTGTGGAAAGCCATATGGACATCCCTCAAAAAGCTAAGAGCAAAACGACTTTAAAATTATCTTAATTAAAAAAAAAAATACCTGCACACTGTACATATCTGTATCATTTTATTTTGGGTCACATAGACTATGTAACGTGCCATGTCTAGCTTTGCATTTGTTTCTTGAGGATTAATAGACTTTTGTTAGTAGAGTTAGGGTTAGCAATATGTTGATGTATGTTCTTCTGAGAAATATTTCACATCAGAATAATAAAAATATTTATAAATGTATTATAAGAAAACCAAACATGGGCCTTTTAAAGTGGCTCATTTTACAAATCAGCAATAATAAAAAGAAAACAACAAAAATTGCTTCATACCCAATACTTTCAGGGGAAAGAATGCTCTTGCAAACAAACACAAGTGGCTTACTTTGCTCCTTTATTTCTTTTGTCATGTTCCAGCATTAAAGCTAGGTCCTGAATCATTCAAGTTTGATGGTGCAGTGGAAGCCGTGGCTGTCCGGCAGGCTGAGAAGTATTACATCCTCCGTCCAGAAGTAATTGAAACCTACTGGTACCTGTGGAGATTCACTCACGATCCAAGATACAGGCAGTGGGGCTGGGAAGCAGCACTGGTAAATAAGCCAATATTTCATTTTATTCATAAGAATATTAATAAGCCCTCCTAGTGTGCCATGTGTCCTCATCCATTTTACTTCATTTTAAGTAACTTCATGATTTCTCTGATGAAAAACTATTAATCAGTTTCATTTTCTTGGGCAATATAAACAAAACTTAGACTCCTATTTCATTCTTTATTAGGAGCACTTTTCTCACTGAATGATCATAAGGGCCTTATTAGGCCTTAATTTTAGGACCTCCTTAAATAAGAAGATACAAAGTAAGTTTTTTATTTTTTATAAGTAGTTTAATTTCCTATAAAGTCCTAATGCTTAACCACAGGAGGAAAAAAAATACCACATATAAAAGGTACCCAGGTTCTATGGTTATCATTGGGTAGATGACCCCGGCTCGCTTTATGTTGTGTTCTGAGTCATTCCTTAGTGAATCACCATGAGAAGACTCAGTAAATTTTTACAGCTTTTCTAGATTAAGGACAAAATGTACACTTACTTGGAATTGGGAATTCATTTTTTAAAAAATTCTTTGGCAGTACTGGGGATTGAACTTGGGGTCTTTAATTTGCTAGGAAAGTGTTCTACCAGTTCAGCCCTGTCCCCCAACCCTTTTGCTTTTAGTTTTTGTTTTTTGTTTTTTTTTTTTTTGAGAACAAGTCTCACTAAATTTTGCTGAGGCTGACCTCAAATTGATCCTCCTATCTCTGCCTCCTAAACAGCTGAGATTACAGATTACAGGTGTGTGCCACCATGCCCAGCCAGGATTTGAGAATTTTTAATGGTTAGGAAGTAAAATACTAGACTTTCAGGGAACCCTAGGGATATTAGTACCTTGAAGGGAAAAAACATTACTCTTTTATGAAAATACATCTTATTCCCAGGGGAGGGGTTTTATTCTGAAATTGACTAGTTGAGATAAACATTACTAATAATGATGAATACTAATATTCAGTTTAATTAATTTAAGCTTGCAGTCTAGATAGAATGATGAAAGATATCTCGGGTGAGGTAATTAATGGTAGTAAATAGCCCTGACAAGAATGTGTAAGGTATATTGTAGGGCAAGATATATACTGACTTAGGTAAAGGAAATGTTTCACAGTGGCAAAGTTGAAGCCATTTTTGAATGTCCTTACATGACAGATTGACAGCATTTTACTTAGTTGTTCAGGAATAAGACACACACCTCTCAGTAAGTTATCAGTTATTCCCTAAAGTATTGTCATATGGAAAGTGGTGATAGAACACCCTTTGCTCATCTAGAATATGGTCTTATTCTTCTTTCCGTGTCATTTCCTGCTCATGAAAGCTCCCTCACTTTGAGAATCTGTTACAGAACTGAGGAAAGTTTTTCAAAGGGGAAGGAACTACTGAAGATTTTTTTCCAGTAGACAGAAAGAAGTGAGTGTACATGGCTTAAAGTTTAGTCACGCTTCCTGCTGCTTTCAGCATTCTTAAGCTGCTCTGACACTTCATAAGTTGGTGATCTGTTCTTCACATGGTTGTTGTGAAGAGTAGTCCTTAAAAAAAAATCACGTTATTTAGAATATGTTTAAAATGTTTAGATGGAGAAAAGCACAAAGCTCTTTGGTAAGAAGGCTTTAAAAACCCAACTATATACTCAAAATGAACCTGTAAGGTGCTTAGTTTGATTGAACACTTTTCAGTATTAGCTTTTTATTAGAAAAGAAAACCAGACGAGCAGGAGTAATAGCAAGAGTAGGAGCAATAGCCTTGGCCACCATGATTACTTAGTAACTGTACCTTCTTTGGACAGTGTCTCAGGGTTAGGTACTTCTTGACCTTCTCATGAATGCTTAGTTATGGAGTGTGACACACCTGCATGAAATAGTATATTTGGTTGCTTTGAATTAAAAGTAGAGCTGTGAGTAGATTCTGCTTAATCCAATATATTTTATTTAGGCATATTCAAAGATGCAGAAGGAGATGTAAATTGAGAATGTTAGTGTCCAGTGAAGCAGTAGAGTAGTTAATGAGGAGCAAATACTTCTGCCCAGTTTGTCCATCTGAAAAGTGGAGCTGGTAACCTCATAGGGTTGTTGTGAAATTTAAGTATCAGTCAGTAGAAAGCTCTTAGGAAGCCTTCAGCACATAATAAATAAATGCTTGATATTTATAATTATTATTATGGGTAGGTTCATCCTGCTAGGTTTTTATCACCTATAATACTTAACTCACAGAATTATGGTAATAGAATGTCTGGCATAGAGTGTGTGTGCAGAAATATTATCTCTTACTGCCATCACTCTAAAGAGCTCCTAAATGATAACTTTTTTACTTGTTGTGGATTATTGTTTGTTCTTGGAAATGATAAAATTGAAATTCAAATTTTTAGTTAGAGCTAACTTGGTCTTGATTTGTTAGAACTAATGAGGCTTACTGTGCTAGACAGGTCCCTAATTGAGAAAGAATAGCCCAAATTCGACATCTTAAGAGAATATGAGATACTGTGGAATGATTAAAGAAATTTTTAGCCAGGTGTGCTGGGGCATGCCTGTCATCCCAGCACTCAGGAGGCAGAGGCAGGAGGGCCAGCCTGGGCTTCTCAGTGAGACTGTCTCACAAAAGGACAAACATAAAAGATGGTAGTGTTTTAGGAGGAGATTCCAGTATATCTGTTTTTCCAGTATGAGAATTATTTCCACTTGATAGTACATTATTCTTGTGCTTAATATGTTGTGACTAAACGTACTTATTCTTCACAGTTCTATGCAGATCTCTGCACTCTTGATTGTGATCCCTAACTTGTCCTGCACTTACCCTTCAGCACTTCATCCCACAGAACTCTTGTGCAATCTTGCAGGCTATTGAGAAGTACTGCCGCGTCAGCGGAGGGTTCTCCGGAGTCAAGGATGTGTATGCCCCCACTCCTGCCCATGACGACGTGCAGCAGAGCTTCTTCCTCGCTGAGACGCTAAAGTGAGCACACACTGTGAAATTCTTCTCATTAAATTTATCTTTATCTAGTGCATAAAACAAAATCACACACATTCCTGGGTAATATACCGTGTTTTGTACGGGCATATATTGTGCAACATTTAAATTGAATTAAACATCTGCCTCTTCAAACATTTTTCAATTCTTTATGGTGAGAACTTTCAAAATCCTCTGTCTTTTTGAAATGTACAGTGTGTTATTGTCTGTACTCAGCCTACTGTACAACAGCACAAAGAACTTCTTTCTCCTTTCTAGCTATAACTTAGTACCCACTGATCAGCCGTTCTCTGTCCCTCCTTCCCTCCTATCTGCCTCAGCCTCTGGCAACTGCCTCAGCATCTCTGTGGTCAACTTCTTTAGATTCTTCACAGGAGTGAGATCATGCAGTTACTTGTCTCTCTGTGCCTGGCTTGTTTATTTCATTTAACGTAATGATCTTTAGTTCCATCCATGTTGTCCCAAATGACAACACTTCATTTTTTAATGGCTGAATAGTATTGTGTTTTGTGTATGCATCACATTTTCTTTGTCCATTTGTTAACTTTTTTTATTGTTGACTAGTTTGCTATATGATGGCTAGATAATGAATTAATGACCGTGATATATTGCACTAAATTGTATTCCAAATATCTTTTTATGTAATTGGATCTGTAAATCCTCAGTTGCTTCCTATGGAGAATGACTTAGATTACAGTAGATATTTTATCAAGTAAGTGGTTAGTACCTTTAAATTATTTTGTTCTTAGCTCTTTTGGCATGCATTAGAGTCACCTAGATGGCTTTTTTTTTTTTAGAGTGGGTGGTGGTACTAGGGATTCAACTCAGGGCCTCATGCTTGCTAGTCAGACACTCTACCCCTTGAGCCACATCTACAGCCCTTCTTACTTTAGCTATTTTTCAAATAGGGTCTTACATTTTTTCCCAGGTTGACCTCAGACTGTGATCTTCCTACCTCAGCCTCTTGGTAGCTGAGATTATAAGCATGTCCCACTGTGCCTAATTTATTTGTCATGAAAGGGTCTTTTTTTTACTTGGACTAGCCTTGAACCTCTTCCTCCAAAGTAGCTGGGATTGCAGGCATGAGCCACTGCACCCAGCCTTTGAAAGCTGCTTACAATACAGATAACTGGGCTCATACCCAGAGTTTTAGTACTTCTGGGGTAGGACCTAAGAATTTGCATTTCTGACACACACCCAGGTGAGAGTCATGATTCTGGTCCTGGGACCATACCTGAGCTCTCTGCTGTAGCTAATTAAATCTGTTAGGAATAATTGTGATGTTAAGTGATACATCTACATAGCCAGCAGTCCTCCTGGTAAGGTTTCCTGTAGAGATACATATAAAGAGGACAATGGAAAAGAAAAAGACAATTTGGGGCTTTTACTCAAAAGCTCAGGTAGAGCTCTCTGTAAACTCACTTGGGATAAGGTGGAGACCTTAAGTATGTCCACTTTCATAAAGACTTATAAAGTAAGTATCTCTTCATACCATGTCTTAAGTTTTATATTTCTATTTTCTTTTATCTATACATGAATGACTCAAATAATTTCATTTGCTCAACAAATGTTTACTACCAGATACTGTTCAAATCATTTGGGGGATACAGTAGAACCTTGGTACCTGCAGTTAATCTGGTTCCATTCCAAGGAAACCAGTATTGAGGAAAAGCTACGAATGGTCAGGTTGCATAGAGTTCAGTGCTGTACTGCAGATGCTTGAGTCACTTTCCCTGCAGCACCATGGGCATAATTTGTGCTAAAGACATGCTACCTTTCAGCAAATCTCAAATTTTTACTTTTATCACTTAAAGTACACATACTCACTTCTACCTTGCTTTTTTGGGCACCGTTTGCTTTTGGGAAGGTAGATTTTTCACAAAAGTAAAGGTAAGGAAACCCTCAGCAGATCACACAATGATTTATATATAGCTGATGATAACATGGGACTGACTGAGAGTCTCTCTGCATCACCTGAGCTGCATAGTGTGTGTGTGTGTGTGTGTGTGTGTGTGTGTGTGAATTTAAAATGTTTTGTTTTAGAGTTATTCATTCGTTTATTCTTCATATAATAAATCCAATAAATAAGGCAGGCTTACTGTACATCAACAGATATATAGCAGACAAAAATTCCTGTATCTCTGGATTTTACATTCTTTATAATTTTGATTTGCATTCTGGTATGTTACAATTGAAATGTGCATGTCTCAAGCTAAGTCTCCTAAATAAATGTCCATATTATTCCAGTTTTTCTTTCATTATTTCTGGTACTGTTGTTTTCCTATCTCTTCAGCCTGTACATTATAGTACATATAGCCTGTACATATCAGTAAGTCTTCATGCTTCTTTCTGTTTTGTTGTTTATTCATTCTGCCCCTCCTTCTCATAGTTACAACTGCCCCTACTCCAGACTCTGATATGCTCTAGACCCTGACCTTGAACATCTGCCCAGCTGCTCACTTCTTACCTCTAGGTATTCCTCGCTGTGACTTATCCTCTGTGATTAGGTTTGAGACTGTATAAGATAGATGGAAAGAGCATTGTACTGTGAGACAAGGTGATAGGAACCTTAGTTACACACTTGCTTCATTCTCACTGAATGAACAAAGAGTAAATTTCTTTGCTTTGAGGAAACTGTAAAATTTGATCCAGAGTATAAAGAGTCTCTTCTTTATTAATTTCAAGACCTCAGAAAGACTGTAAGATTGAATGAAAATTTGTATGATCTTCACTTGGTTTACCCAAGTTTTGCCACACTTTTACCATCTTTTTATTTATTTGCTATACTGACTACTCTACCACTGAGCCACATCCCCAGCCCTTTAAAGTGTTCAGGCTTGTTGCTTTAAAGACTGTCCCTCAGATGGAGTTTTCTGATTTTTATCTAATGATCAGATTTAAGTTAAAAACATTTTTGACATATGAATATTATGTAAATGATTTGTGTTTATTATTGGATCCTATGAGGAGGAGCATGGTAATAGTGCCTTTGTGATTTTAAGTTTGATTGTTGGTTAGATTTGATAGTAAGTCATGTGAATAGTCTTTTTTCTTTTTACAATTAGTAAGCTATCTGTGGAGTGACAGAGACTGTGGATATATTTTTTCAAGTCTTTCACCCAGGATTGTTAGCATCTTTTGCCTGAATCAAATATTACTACAGTAGGAGTAAAATGCTAACTCTTTCTAGTCTTAAAAAATACTTGATTTTCATCATTCATACACCATATTCTTTATGCCATTTTTTTTCTCAAAAGCTACAATGATTCATTTGTTTCTCTACTTTATTTCTTAATTTCTTTATTTGTAGCTTCTATCCTTAAACCAACCTGATTTACATTCAGATATTAAGTTTGTTCTTTTGCATTTCATGTTTATATTTCTCTGCCCAGTGGCAGTGAAATTCCTCTACCCTAGTTATCACTTAATATATCTTTCTCTTCTGTCTTCAATTCAAATCTCAACACCTAGAGACTTTTATAATAATTTCATAAATAACTCACCAGTGTAGACCTTGAGCACTTTAGCATATGGCATAGGGCTGGAAGTAGACGGTATGCTGCCTTATCCCTTTCCTCTGTCTGAATGAAGTATCACCAGTTAATCTTGTTACTTTTTCTTGACAAATTCAGGCAGAGAATCTTTATCAACAGAGCAGTACTCTAGGTAAGCAGTCATTTATATTTGCTTTCAGAAAAACATATACATGTAGATCAATAAAATCAAAGAAACTTGAGCTAGAGGAAACATAGATAATCGTATCAGCATCTTAGCTAGGAAATTATCATAATTGAACCACTGCATTCAGCAATCAGCTTCCTGGAAGCTAAAGCAAAAAGCAATCATCCTGTACATAGTTGTAGGTTTATACTTTTTTTATTGTGAAGATAGAGCTTAAAACTTTCAAGAGGAATGCAGGTCAGTATGACCCCTTAAATTTTTCTCAAATATCTGTTTATTCAAGTAGGCCTTTGTGAGAAACTGAGTAACTGTCAAGTGGTTGAAATTTGTTGTGAATAGAGCACAGCAGTTGATGTGTTTTAGCAACCAGAGATAGTGACTGATGGACGTAGCAGTGACAGAGTTAAATGAAAAACTGTGTTCTTGACCTTAGTCAAGGGCCATTTTTTTTTAATTCATATGTGCATACAATGTTTGGGTCATTTGTTCCCCCTTCCCCCACCACCTCCCTTACCCCTCTGCCCCCTCCCTCTCTCCCCACCCCCTCAATGCCCGGCAGAAACTATTTTGCCCTTATCTCTAATTTTGTTGAAGAGAGAGTATAAGCAATAATAGGAAGGAACAAGGGTTTTTGCTAGTTGAGATGAGGATAGCTATACAGGGCTGTGACTTGCATTGATTTCCTGTGCATGTGTGTTACCTTCTAGGTTAATTCTTCTTGATCTAACCTTTTCTCTAGTTCCTGGTCTCCTTCTCCTATTGGAAGGGCCATTTTACATGTTGTCATGGATGCTGTTCTGTAAATTACCCATAGCTGAAGGTATACTTGTTCCTCATGAGACAAAGGGCCCTGTCCTCTATTTCTTTTGTTTCCTTCAATAGTCCCTAATTTGTTTATTCATTTACCATATGTATTGATGGAATACCAAAAACTGAAATGAGAAAGGTCAGAGATAGGTTCTTTCAAAGCTTCTTACCTTAAAATTCTTAGGCTGTAGCACAGGTAATAAAATATATGCAATGTATAAAATAAAATTTAAATATTTTAAGTTTATAAGTAAAATGCAAGTCTAACAAAATGCAAGTCTTTTGGATAAACAATAGTTGCTTAACTTGGAAGACATAAAATAAGACATCATGAATGTATGTGGTGGCATTTCAACCAGACTTGAAGACAAGATGGGTAAAACGGGAGGAGCTGTGAGTCAGGCAGTGGCATCTTTAAGAGTGAGAGAGGTAGCTCTAAGGGTACCATTGACGAGCCTTATTACATGTAGAGAGATTCAGTAAGAAGGAGGTATCAAAGATAATATTGAAGTTTCCAGTGTGGGTAACTGTAAGGATTGTGATACCAAGTTTCAAGAAGAAACAGATTTTCAGAAAAAGTAATTACTTTTGACATATATTCCCAAGAGGCAGGTACAAATACAGATCTGGAGTTCAAAAGAAATAAGTTCAGTAGATTTTGAGTATAAAGAGAAAAGGCATATATCTGATCCTTTGAAGATGTGTCCATCTAACAAGTCAGAGGAAGTTCCAGTTTCAGCTTGGCAGAATAAACACATGTATTTATTCTCTATACTCTCCTGAAAGCCATTAAAATGACTATAGAAGACTGAGCAGGTGACAAAGGACAAGGGCAATGAAAATGAGAAAGAAACCAGCATACAAGACATGCCAGTACGTTTTTTAGAAGATAGAAGGAAGCAGAGAAAGCTAGGTCCTGCATTAGGGGAAGTTAATTAAAGCAAGCCAATATGTGCTTCAGGATGCTGGAAAAGATTGAAAACTGGAAATTTTTTTGTCTGGGGGCCTGTGCATGAGGAATATTAGACCCCAAATCTATCCCTGCCTCATCTGTGTCCTGAATGAAGCTAGAGATTTCTTGTCTGAAGAGGTTGAACCATGGAGGCTGTGAATTTAAAGATAACAGGCACTGCCAAAAGTGAGAGGATATTGGAGGACTTCTGGGGAAAATTGATTCCTTCACAAGAAAAAAAAAATAGATATTGACACATGAGGTTCCTTCATCAGAACCAGCATGTCCTTACCATCCCCCAGAGATAAAGCTCCCAGTAAATACTGACCTGCCTACGGTTTCTACTCAGCATTTTAATGTTAATAAAACAGTATTGGCCTAGAAATACTTACCAAACTTTAGATATATGTATAAGATACATGCATGCTTATGTGTGTGTTGTACTTTGATTTTTAGAAGTTCACTTAAAAGTAAAATATGAACAAGATAATTCAAGAAAATATCTTAGAAGGGAAAGACAAAAGTTTCCAGTTTGAAATAAACCATCAAGATCCTAGCACAGTGGGTAAAAACAGATTCTCATGGAAACAACACCATGGGATTTCAGAAACCTAGAGAAAAAGAAAGATCTAATGGCTTTCAATGAGAGGAAGAATAAGAGTCTTGTAAAAAATGATCTGGATTGAGAGTGGTTTTAAGACATATTAAGGACAAACATGAAGACTAGCAACACTGGAGCAGTTCATTCATATTATGGCTGCAAATTAATTCCAACCTAAAATTCTAAAACAGTTAACTTTCATGTATTCCTTCTTAGTGCATTTTGCCATTAAAACCAGAAAGGAAGATACGAATATGAGAATACATGTCAGAAAAATTAAGAGATAGTCCATCCACATTGACTAGTACATCTGTTGATGGGCACCTAGGTTGATTCTATAACTTGGCTATTGTGAATAGCACTACAATAAATATGAGTGTGTAGGTGTCTCTATCCTGGCTTAGATTGTGTGTGTGTGTGTGTGTGTGTGTGTGTGTGTGTGTACCACACTCCAAGGAATGGTATAGCTGGATCATATGGTAGTTTTAGTTTTAGTTTTTTGAGAAACTTCCATAGTGGCTGTACTAATTTAGTTTTAGTTTTTTGAGAAACTTCCATATGAATTTCCATAGTGGCTGTACTAATTTAGTTTTAGTTTTTTGAGAAACTTCCATATGAATTTCCATAGTGGCTGTACTAATTTACATTCCTGAGCTGAAGGTGTGGTTCAAGTGGTAGAGTGTTTGGTAGTACAAGTCCCTAAGTTCAAACCCTAGTTATTGCAAAAAAAAAAAAAAAAAAAAAAAATTACATTCCCACAGCATGTAAAGGATTCCCTTTTCCCCACATCTTCAGCAGCATTATTTGCTGTTTGTTTTCTTGCTGATAGCCATTCTGACTAGGGTGAGGGTGAGATGAATCTCAATGTAGTTTTGACTTGTATTTCTCTAATAACTAAAGATATTGAACATTTTTTCATGTACTAGCCATTTGAACTTTTTTTTTCCCAGAACTGCTGTTCAATTCACTTGGTTGTTTATTAAAAATAGAGAAGCTTTTCCTTTGGTGTTTAATTTTTTGAGTTCTTTGTATATTCTGGATATTAATCAATTGTTAGATGAATAGTTGGCAAAGATTTTTCTCCCATTCTTTAGGCTGTCTCTTCACTTTGGTAAATATTTCCTTTTCTCAGCAAAAGCTATCTTATTTGATGCATTCCGTTTGTCAGTTCTTGCTCTGATTTCCTGAGCTACTGGAGTCCTATTCAGAAAGCTGTTCCTATGTCTATGTCATCAAGTGTTTTCCCTGTAGTTTTTGGTCTTACATTAAGATCTTTGATCCATTTTTTTTATTGATTTTTGTATAGGATGAGAGATAGGGATCTAGTTTCAGTCTTCTACAGGTACATGTCCATTCAGTTTTCTGAGCACCAGTTGTTGAAGAAGCTGCCTTTTCTTTAATGTATGTTTTTGGCACTCACTTTTGTCAAAAATCAGATGGCTGTAACTGTGTGGGCTTATTTATGGATCTTCTTCATCAGTTTCTTTCTTCAGTGTTTTATAACTTTTATTGTAAAGGTCTTTTACCTGCTAAGTTTATTCCTAGGTATTTTATTTTTTTGAGGCTGTTGTGAATGGATTATTTTCCTGATTTCTTTCTCAGCCTTATTATATGTATTCAGCAGAGGTACTGATTTTGGTATGTTGATTTTGTTGTTCAAAGTGTTTCATCAGATCTAATAATTTTTGGTAGAGTCATCAAGTTCTTTTAAGTACAGAATTACATCTGTGAGTAGGGATAATTTGACTTCTTCCTTTCCTGTTTGTATCCCTTTTCTTTTTCTTGCCTTACTGCTTTGACTAAGAATTCAAGCTCTATACAGTGAAGAGTATGGACACCTTTGTTGTTCTTGACTTCAGAGGAAATACTTTCACTGTTTTCCCTGTTTAGTATGACACTTGCTGTAGGTTTATTATATATAGCCTTTATTATATTGAAGAACATTCCTTCTATTCCTAATTTCTTCAAGGCTTTTATCATAAAGGATTGTTGAATTTTTGTCAAAGGTTTTTTTCTGCATCTATTGAGAGGACCATGTGATTTATATCCTTTACTATGTTTATGTGCTGCATCGTGTTTATTGATTTGTATTCCTGTATTTTTGTAATAAAAACAACTTATGCATGCATATAATCTTTTAACTGTGTTGTTTAGTTGAGTTTGCAAATATTTTATTGAGAAGTTTTGTGTCTATGTTCATCAAGGAAATTAGTGTATTATTACATTTTCTGTTTTTGTAGTGTCCTTCCCTGGTTTTGGTATGAGGGTAATACTGGCTTCATAGAATGACATTTTGGGCATTCTTTCCCTTTCTATTTTATGGAATACTTTGAGGAACATTTTGTGTTAGTTCTTCTTTAATGGTCTGGTAGAACTCAGCAGTGAAGCTGTTCAGTCCTGGTCTGTTCTTTGTTGAAAGACTATTAGTTACTGCTCAGTCTCATTGTAGAGAAGTTGTTTATATCCTGATAGTTCAATTTTATTAGGAATAGGTGCCTAGAAATTTATCCATTTCTTCTAGATTTTTCAGTTCATTGCTTTAAGTTTCCTCTGAACTTCTTGGTATTTGTTGTGATATTCCCTTATTCATCACTAGTTTTAGTAATTTGGGTCTTTGCCCTCTTTGTTTCAGTTAGTTTGGTTAAGCGTTTTTCCATCTTGTTTATCTTTTTAAAGAACCAGTTCTTTGTCTTATTGTTTGTTTCATTCTTTTAGTTTCTATTTCATTAATTTCTGCCCTGACCTTTCTTTCCATCTACTGTTTTTTGTTGTTGTTGTTTGTTTTGGCAGTACTGGGGTTTGAGTTTGAACTCAGAGACTCATGCTTGCTAGGCAGGCACTCTACCACTTGAGCCACTCACTCTTTTTTGTGTTGGGTATTTTCACATTAGGGTCTCATGAACTATTTGCCCAGGCTTGCCTCTAGTCACATTCCTCCTGATCTCTGCTTCCCGAGTAGCTAGGATTATAGTTGTGAGCCACGACCCAATTTCCACCTTCTGTTTTTGGGTTTGGCTTGTTCTTGTTTTTCTAAGATCTTGAGGTTCATCATTGGGTTGTTTTTGAGGTCTCTGATATTTCAATGTAGGCACTCCTAGTTATAGCCTTTCTTCTTAGCATTGCCTTTGTTGTGTCCCAAAGGTTCTGGTAAGTTGTGTCTTCATTTTCACTTGATTCTAGGAATTTTCTGATTTCTCCCCTTATTTCCTTGATGCCTGATCATTCAAAAGTGCATTGTTCAGTCTCCATGTGTTTGTATATTTTCTGTAGTACCTCTTGCTGTTGATTTGTAGCTTTATTCTGTTGATAAAACACAGGAACTTATTTCAGTTTTCTTGTATTTTCTAAGACTGTCTTTATATCCTAAAATGATATTTTGGAGAATGTTACATGAGCTGCTGAGAAGAATCTATATTCTGAGGCTGTTGAGTAGAGTATTGTGTAGATGTTTGTTAAGTCCATTTGATCTATAGTGTCGTTTAATTCCAAGTTTCCTTATTGATTTTGTATTTGGTCTGGATGAGCTGTCTTTTGGTGAGGGTAAGGTATTGAAGTCATCTACTATTATTATGTTTGGGGTGTTTATCAATATAACCTAAATTTAAAGCCTAAAAGTACATAATTTAAAGAAGAAACAGGAGAAAAATCCCTGTGATTTTAGGCTGGGCAAAGATTACTGATCTATGATACCAGAGCAAACTTCATTAAAATATATTTAGCAGTTGGTCTCAAAATTAAAAACACCTGCTCTTTGAAAGAATTCTTAAGAGAATACAAGCCACACACTGGGATAAATTCTTTGCAAAGAAATATCTAATTCTAATTGAAGCTCATTTCCCCCCCTCCTTTATTTTCAGATATTTGTATCTGCTGTTCTCTGGTGATGACCTTTTACCTTTAGACCACTGGGTGTTTAACACAGAGGCTCACCCTCTGCCTGTGTTACATTTAGCCAACACCACACTTTCAGGTAATCCTGCTGTTCGATGAAAGCAGATCCAGAAGGACCATTCTTACCTGTGTTTTGTTTACATGGACCACTACAGAAATTTGTCTGGAGAGGTGACTTTTGAAAAACCTGGACCTCTGAGTCAACATGACAGGGCAAAACTTGACCCTGTAAGAAGACTTTGCAACTTGTAGATATATCAGCTTTGAAATTATTCCATTTTATACCTGACCAAAACATGTTCTGGTATGTGTAGGTCAGAGACCTGATGTGCTTTGATTCTTAATGCAATGGTCACGTGAGCAAACGATGCCTACTACTTCTACATTGTTAGAACAAGCAAAGAATATGGAGCACCTTGCAGGAGTTACAGATGGCCTTTGGAACCAGTTACGTATTTGTTTCCCCCCCAAGGTGGAACAGCTTTCAAATCAGATATTTACACATTGTTTATCCCTTTTCCCCTCCATTTTAATAATGGAATAAACTAAGATAAGCAAGAACAAAGGAACATTGTAACTGCATCAGAGGTAAGAAGACTTGAAAAAGAAGCAAAAATGCCTATCCCTGTTGATCTCAAGTTTGCATTGGATTTACCAGACTGGCAACCATTTCAGTCCCAATCTAGTTCATTGAAGTTCCTTGGTTAAATTTAATTTTCTATGGGGGCATGATATCACAAAGAATACCCTTCAAGCCTTTGTCTCCACACAGTATCATTGAAACTGGTATTTATCATAATCTCTCCTTAAGAGCCTGGGTTTGGATTTTGTGCATGTAGTTCAGTCTAGTGTTGGTAGCATGACAAAAGTGAGGAAAATGCCAGTTTGTTGCCTTGAAACCTGTTCTTAGAGAAATCCTTGGTTTTGATGGTTGATTATATTTCTTAGCCAACAAATCTGTCAAGTAAATTTTATCTGCTTTAATCTCATAATACAATTAGTAGCGTCACTCAACTTACAACTTTATTTATGAGGCTTGGCAAAATTCACTGTACTATTATGCAGCTGTCAGTTTGCCGTAACAAGCTAAATTACTTTTATAACTTATTAAAGCTAAGTTGAAGACAGTGAAACTTCCTTAAACATTCTGTCTAGAATGGGACAGGGGATTCTTTATTTATTATCTTGTCAGATAAGCGAGCTGTTCACAAATGCTTTACATTTTTTAGTTTCTCTAAGAGTATTTATATACATCCAAAGAATCAGAATAGCTTCAAAACAATTTTCAGTGACAAATGCCATGGTGTAATTTATATTACACTAAAATTTGAATAGACCTAAGGGACTTTCTCTGACCATCAGTAGATTTTGCACTGATATTTCTCTGTTAAGAAATTACTATTTCTTTATATCTTGGGCAGAAAAAACTTAAAATTTTATTAAGAACTATGATATAAGATCAGTACTAATGGCTTATAAATTTTCTGTCCCTTGGGTTTCTGTATAAGACATTTTTTCCTCTTTTCATTTAATACAGACATCTTCTATTGACATTAATAAAACTTGGAAGCAAGTTTAATTAATCTAATGTTTACTTTGTATTTGAATATTTCATGAAACAAGGTTTGTACAAGGAACCCACTTTGGGATTCTGAAGGCTTATTTCCTTATCTGATAGCTTTTTAACACACTATTAGCATGTAGAAAAAAATTAATAAATTAATATAATTAAACATTTTCTAAGGGTGATCATCTTACACCACAAATCATCAAATGACCATGAATGATAGCCACCCCCAAATTATTCAGTATATGTAGAAAATAAGGATATAGAGCTAGTTGTACCAAGTTCTTAAGAAGGCTAAATTTTAGCACGTATTCTGACATTGTAATCTTTTACTACTTGAAAATTAAAAGTTTTTAAATTAGAAGAGTACGTGACTATGACTTTGGAAGGGAAAGGGAAAATATTTGGTTCTCAGAAAAAAGTAAGCTTTCCTCCTAAAAATAGCACAAGCCCACTTGTGAGTTACTTTATTTAAAAAAAAAATGAAAAATTTGAGTTGGCAAAGACCCAGAGCAGCTGTATAGATGGTAAGGAGAGGGTCTCTCACTTTTTTCAGAAGAATGAAGAGTTGAAGGGGTCATCTCAGCTCCCCACCCTGAAGTACTCTGTGTTAGTGAGTGAGAGCTTTAGAGAAGTCAGGGAAGTGTATAGCTCAGCCAGTTCTGGTGCAAAGAAAGGTTTGAGGGGGGCCAAGGAAGGGTCTTCTTTACCACTCCCTACCTTCTTTGTGGTGACAAGAACTGGAGCTTATAACAGTGCATTTTCTTCTCTGAATACCAAAGGCAATTAAAAGTCAGGTGCAAATGACTTGCCAGTGTCATGTTTTGTTTTTGTTACATATCTGTAAAATAATTTCCTCCAAGACCAGTCCTTATCCCATATTTTGCTTATTTTTCAAGAGTGCTCTTTACTTTCTTCTGTCCTCTTTGCCTGTTGTATTTTGTAGATCTCATTACTCAGGTTCAATACTCAATTGCACTTAAAAACTCTTTGCAAAGAACCCAGAAATGCTTCTTTCCAGGTGCCTCCTCAGAGAGCTGACACTTTACCTTCTGCATTTGGTACAGTTGTACAGAATAGAGAGATCATTTGGTAAATAAAAGAAGGAAAATAGGAATGTTGAACAGCCTTCCACTTTCTACACTGTTTTCTCTTCATTTTAGAGTCCTGCTTTTTGATTCAAACCAGATTTTTAAAAATTATTTAACCAATATGAAATTGTTAAAACCAAGAGAATGAGGCCCTAACCCAAAGAAAGTCTCAGTGCAGAAAAATAAGTCCCCAGTCAGAGGGTTCTTACATGCTGGTGGATTGCACACTTTTTTCCCTCTAACACCAACTTATTCCTGTCTTTGAGTAGATATGTATATGTAAAAGAAAAACCTAAATATTGAAGGAATGCATTCTTTCAGTGAAGTATCATCCCTGATTTTGTGTGATGCTGTGTAGAGCATCCGAGGGTTTTACTTGGTATTTTTTAACTGAGCAGTTTGAATCTTGACCATCAGCGTCTCATACTCTCCAGTCTCCATTGCCAAAGTCTTTTTCAGGACTCCAAATTTGTTGGTAAAAGATTGTGCTTGCCATTCTTTTTAAAACAGTTTCTCTTAAGCTGGATTTCTTTGAATGAGTGAGAGAATGAATGAACAAACATTTCTGGAGTATGAATGTGTGCTGAGCATCGTGCCTGAGAACATTTTCTGTGGCTCTAATCACATTTCTGGATTAGAATAGTTCATACCATTCTAGATGTTTTCCAAAATGAATCATGTTACAAAATCCTTAACTTTATATTTCATTTAAATTAAAAAGCAAGAGAAAAGGTTTATAATATATTTTAAACAATGTGTTATGCTATATAATAACTAACAATTATAATTGCAGCTAATAACTGAAGTCTCTTGGAAAATGTCAAAGAAATAACTTGAATTCTGATGCAATTTTGACTAAAATATTTACTTTAAAAATAAACACTCTTATTTTGCTCTATCATTTTAATTATATGATTAAAATCAATATTTTATAGAAGTGCTGATTATTTTATATTCAAAAGTTTTTGTCACTTAATTCATGGGTAAAACTTGGCAGTTGTAATTGCCTTTGCACTGGTGTTCTTCTACTAATGGTAGTACCCATATTTTTTTAAATATAAAGACAAACATTCTAAAATATTTCAAGTTCCAAGTAATAGTTCCTAGTAATATTTTGAATTCTTCTCTCTAGGTTTCCTTTCCCTCAAATTGGCTGTACACATAAATACAATCATACACAGATTTTTATTTTTGTTTGTTAGTTAACAAACACAGTTGGCACCTGGTTTTGACTCCACAAAATAGATGCAATCACAAAATTTAAGCAACCACATCAGATACGGAGATACCAGAATTACCAGTTATTCTGGCTCAAGAACATTGGTGAAGATGATTTTCTGTTACCTTAGCTTACCCGGGTCCTCATATAGATGTTCTGTTTGATCTGTATGCAGTCAGCAAGCTTTTCTGTTAAAGGGTCCAAGAATAAATAATTTAGACTCTGTGAGCCATGCAGCTCTGTTATTACTTACTCAGTTTTGCCATTAGAGTATGAAAGCAGATGGAAATGCTATATAAATGAATGAGTTTGCCTGTGTTCCAATAAAACTATTTACAAGAACAGATGGAGGAGCTGGATTTGGCCTACAGGTCACAGTTGCTAACCCTAATCCCAAGTTTAATTTGTATAAGACCCTCTGACCTTTGATCTGCATCTTTTCTCTGTGGTTTTACCTTCATAATTCATCTTTAAAGGAAAAAGATGTGTGTATGTACAACTGTATGTATTTGTGTTACTTTAAGCTGTGTATTTTGTCATTGGAGTCTGTTCAGATAATATCACTATCATGAATAAGGCAGAACTGGGGCGGCGGGAGGGGGGAGGGAAGTAATGCTTTCAGCCCTTACTCTTCACCTTGCTATTTAATGCCATTAATTCCAGAATCCCCATGTTTAAAAAAAAAAAAAAAAAAGGTCTATGTGGCATCAAAATATTTTCTCTCCCAAGTTGTGCCTGCTCACTGACCCTTGGATCAGTACTCTGGATTGCTGCAGCTGCAGGAATTTATTCACCCTGCTACTCCTGGAGCTCTAAGACAAGAAAGAATGACAATTCCCATTCTTGGTGCTGCAGAAACCAATCTTTTGAAAAGTTGTAGGTAGCACAACAGGTTTTATGCCTCACTTGCCATTTGGCATCCACTTTTAGACAGTTGAAGGGTGCTGCCCGTTACCTCTTGAACAGCCTAAGTCTGAGAAGTACAGAGAGAAGATGTATCCAAAAGGAGTGTTCCTTCCTCTTTCAAGCTCTCCACAAGGCTGTTATAAGACAATTACATCATTTCAGAATGGCAGTATGCATGAGTTTTCAGCGAAAGCATTCCTCAAACTCAATTTTACACTTCCTCTGTGTTACAACTAATCCATTTCCAACTTGATTTGAGCCCAGAAATTCCAGAACTCAAAATTTCTCACAAAATTCTACACCACCATATTACTCATATATGTATTGCAATGTACCTGTCATTCTGACAGATTTTTTTCTCTAAGAAATTTATAAAATATTTCACCATTTTTTGGAAATTCTAGAGGGAAAGCCTGTATTCAGAGTGATAGACATGCCTGTTTTCCATATTATGAATGAACTGCCTTTGCAGGTCTGAGCCACTCTTAAGGTCACATCAGATCAGTGTGAATGTAAGTTTTGGTACTCACATACACATTCTGACACATTTAATATGCAGAGGTTTTTAAATGTTTGCAAATACCTTGCAGCTATTTGAATGCTACAGAATTCTACTGTAAATTGTATACCAGGAAATTTCATGGAGAGAAACCTAGCTCTTTGTTGGGAAAAATACAGAAATTAGTTTATTTTTTAGCTGGTTTAATTAAAGTATCCCCAATTTTAATTACTGGATTTGGGAATTGAAATGCCATTCTTTACCCTTGCTGGTCTCAAATTCACTGGTAGAATTTTCTCTAAATTAGTAAGTGGGTTAAATGTAACCTCCTAAGTTGGTACCTACTGGCTGCTCCTGAACTGATTTCCAGTCCTGTCCTCCATAATGTGATTTTTACATATCAAAGGTGAGATTGTATATTAAAGATTAAATAAAGACATTCTTTAAGTGAAAAGTCTGTTTATCTTTTTACCACTGGTGACAAGCAGAAGAGCAAGTTTGGCTTGCCTTCTCTCACCTTGTCCCTTGAGCTCTCAAGTATGTGAACAGCTGTGGCTTCAGAATGTTTCACCACTACTTTATTCAGTGCTTCATGGGCACCAGGTACTAAATACTCTGTGCTTCTCCGAAACCAACAGCCTGAACTACTACCGATCATCCAGCTCATCCTGCTCCTCATCACCTTGGCCTGTATTTGCTCATTCTTCCCGGCACATGAACTTCAACCTAATTAAAATTTTAGAATTAGAAATTACATTGTGGACATATCAAATATTAATTGTGGACTTTAATTTTTCAGAAGCAACTAAAACAGGACTGGGTAATATTAAAAGAATAAGACGCTCCGAGTGACTATAATTTGATAAAAACCTCAGCCTATCTATTAGATACCTGACATTTACATCATTTCATTGGGTTGCAGAGGAGCTGTCAGCTCGCACATGACATTCATGGTAAGGCTGGGTTCACAGCTGCAGATATAACTCAGTGGCAGAGTGTTTGCCAAGCACGTGCCAACACAGAAAAAAAATGGGTAAGTGATCCTGCATCCTAACTTGTGGATTGAAAAGAATTAATTTTTTATTGTGGTAAGCTGTATGTGACATAAAATTTACTATTTTGGCAATACAATTGAGCGGCGTTAATAATTACATTAACAGATTTGTACAGTCACTGCCAGTATCTATTTACAAGCTGTGTCAACATTCCAAACAGGAACTCTAAATCATTAAGCTGTAACTCCTTATTCTGCCACTCCCCCCCGCCAACAGCCCATGATCTCTGCTTCTTAAGACAAAATTTCTTAACCCCGCTAAGTCTCAATTTTCTTACCGATAAAGAGGGAGATAAGGGAATAATATAGAAGCTTTACAATTAAATGCAAATAATCCATACACATAGCCAAATTAAGCTTAAAGTTTCAGTTATTTTTAATTTCCATTAGCAGCAGATTGGAGTAGTCACTCTTAAAGGAAGAGAAAAAAGAGGAGAAGGACCATTAGAACAGGCAATGAAGAGCCAATCCATCCAGTTGTACCTCTTTTTACATAAAAGAAAACAAACTCAAAAGGGGAAAATGAAGACTTGGATCTTTAAGGTGGTCTTTCATGTTATCATTCATGATTCTATGAAATAAAATTTACATAGGATTTTTTTGTTGTTGTTGGTAGTGGGTTTTTTCGTTTTGGTTATGCTGCCCTGGGCATTGAACTCAGGGCCTCCTCCATACTAGGCAGGTGCTCTGCCACTTGAGCCATACACCCTCACCCTTTTTGTTTTATTTTTCAAATAAGGTCTCATGCTTTTTGCCCAGGCCAGCCTCAGACAGTGATCCTCCCAATCTCAATCTACCAAGTAGCTGGAATTACAGGTGTGTGCCACTATGCCCACCCTATTTATTGCTGAATATATTTCATTATATGGAAGTTCATTTATCCATTCACTAATTGATACACATTCAGACTGTCTCCACTTTTTGGCTATTGAGGATAGTGCTGTTATGAATATGTACACAAAAGTCTTTATGTGAGCTTATTTTTATTTCTCTTCGGTATGTGTATCCCTAGAAGTGGATTTGTGGGTCATAAAGTTATGGGTAGCGTATTTTTTTGTTTTTGGCAGTACTGGGGTTTGAATTTAAGGCCTCACACTTGTGTGCAAGCATGCTACCAGTGGAGCCACGCCCCCTGCCCTTTATGCTTTAGTTATTTTGAGATAGGGCCTTGCTTTATGCCTGGTCTTTGTGGTTTGCGATCCTCCTATTACACTTTGTGTGTTGCTGGGACCAACAGACTATGCTAGGATGACAGGTGCACCACCGTGGCCTGCTTTTATTGGTTGAGATGTATTCTGAACTTTTTGCTAAGGCTGGTCTTCAACTGTGATCCTATTGATCTCCACCTCCTGAGTAGCTAGGATTACAGATTTGAGCCACCATACTTGGCCCTTTTTTGCTATGGTTTATTTTTCAGACTGGATCTTGCACTGTTGCACAGGGTTGGTCTCAGATGGATCCTCCTATTTTTGCCTCCTGGTATTAAAGTATGCACTACCATGCCCAGCTTGGGTTTTTTGTTTGTTTGTATTTGTTTTGGAGATGCAAGTTTGCTAACTTTTTGTGCTCAAACCAGGATCCTCCTGTCTCCACTTCCTAAGTAGCTGGGATTACAGGAATGCACCACCATTCCTAACTGTGACCACACTTTTCCAGAGTGACTGCTTTTACATTCCCACTAGCAAAGTATGAGGGTGACTGAAAGGAAAATGAAGAAGCAAGAGAGAGAGACCAAGAAAGAATCTGTGACCTCTACAAGCAAAAGATCTTTCTTAGGGAGAGGAGACTTGAGAGGGACCCTCGGCCATCAGAGTGACACTCTGAGAGGGGCGACGCATGCCTCTCTTACAGGCTGGGGTTTTAAGCATCCTGTAGTAGGATAAGGGAGGTTGGAAGGGGGTGGACATTAGAAAAATGCGAAGGGAGAATGGGGGAAGGTGCTGAACATTACCAGGAAGGTCATTGTGGCTGGGCAACCAGCCATACGTGTTGTTTCTCTCTGGCTCTTTTATCGGAGGTAGCCATGTTTGCATTGTTCCAG